TTGTACTTAATCTGATGCTTAAGATTGATCACCCAGTCACCATCGATTTCCACCTGAAGTAGTTCCTGACTATATGCATCTTCAATAATTTCATTGTCAACATCTGTGTATTTCATCCATTCTTCGACTGATGACCAAGGATCGACAGCTGAGTTCCAGTACCACTGAAAATTCTTTGGACGAAGAAGGACAGGAAGACGATTTGAAGAAGCATAAGCCATTTACTATTGTTTTGCTTACACTTTTTTTTGAAAAATAATATATGTTAGGCAGTTTCTTTTTTTCTCTTCTGCCGTAAGAAAAAGTGTGTGCAGTACTATTATGAAAACAACAAAAAATCGTTAACTTCTTTTTTCTTCCTTTCACTTTATGGTTCCTTTTTATTTCTACTCCTAGTCATACTTGAAAAAGAAAGAAGCATGAAAAAACGCTATCCTGCTATGTAATTCTGTAACCTGAACGGAGGATTGTAAGTCATTGCCTATATTCATTAAATTAGCGAGCTTTTCCCACTGCTTTATCAGAGAATACAATGATGATGATAAAATCTGATGTCGCACTTGCACATTTCGAAAGAGCACGAGATATTGCAAGCTGAAATTCTACTTCAAAAAGAACAAGTGGCAGTAACGCCAGTTTTTCGCCCCCATGATTTTTACTTAAAAATCACTTAAGCAAAGTAAGTCGACAATAAGAAACATTTTGTACGACTCAGTTTTGAAAAATCCGTCCAACCAATTTTTTTCGACTTGAGGTCTTTCTCAGGACTTGGTCAGTAACTTTTTGTCTCTAATTCTTGCAATGAGCATATCATTCGATGCGAAATTTTATGCTGATCACGAATATTACCGTTACATCCTAAAAATATCACGTTTCGTCTGAGTAAATCGAGTTTTACTGCTAGGATGGGATTTCAGTAGAAGCTTACGGGGGAAGGTCATCAACTATTCAATTGCTTTTGAGCCGAAACTATGTGTATTATGTAGACTCCAATGAGTTATGAATACTGTGACAAAAGTTCGAGCACCTAGCTGATTGCGGAGTGTAGGGTATGGTTGTGGATATTGTAACCACTATTCACACTCACACCCACACCCCACATCCATACCCCACACCCACACCCACACCCGACATTTCTGCTGCTTCCCGCAGTTTTGACGTTGATACAAAGGATGACCATTTATAATAAAAGTCTTTTCCAACAGCTTCCCTATAGATTTTAATTTGATTAGGACACAATTGTTCACCTCGGTAAACAGTAATAGATGTAAAATGTGCCGAGGATTTCACAATTCGTTTTAATTGATGTCTGAAAGGCAAGTATTCGCTGTGTCGTTTACCAATATAATTATATAGAAGGTAACAGAATGGACCAAGGGTTTTTAATTGTGACTGATTATTATCACGTAAGGTTTCATTTACAATTTTAAATAGGAAACAAGATTTTGTATACAATAGTGCACAACATTCTTGTAGCTTTTCAATATTTTTATTTTTTATTGAACGAATTTCATCAATGAGGTGACGCGATTCATTAGCAAAACCAAGTTTTCCACCTTCGATAAGTATTCCATCAATAGGAGCCTCTATTATTAAACGTTTTATTGGTTGTTCGAAATTAAATTGTTCACGACGATAATAATTAATTCTATCTTCTATCGTTGAACATTGTCGAACAGACCGTTAATATTGATCTTTAAGAATTTCTTAAGATCAATTTTACAATTATCATCAATGATTAATTCGCTTTGATGTTCTTGATAAGCTAGTTCAAGTTGAATATTGATTTGATGTGGAAATGAAGTCCATTGATCGATATGATCGAATGAAGATAAATCTATATTTGATTTCCAGAACCATGCCACTAATTCTTCTTCCTCTATCTTGTTCAGGAAAGAAATATATTTTTTCATGTGATTAATTTTTCTAAAAGAGCAAAGTTGTAATTCTGACGAAAAAACTTTAAATGCTCAGATTTCGTTTTTGTTTTCTCTTTAATATTTTATTTATTGTATAAGCGTACTCAAATAATGCTCGTCAGTGGATTCGCTCACCTCTTTCTTGTAGAAGTGCCGTTTCTGGACGCCCCCTCCCACCTAAATTATTCACTTATCTATATAACTAACAGTAAATAGCTTCAGACTGAAATTCTTTGTTTTTGAATTTCCTCTAGTGAAGCTTTTTTTCTAAACTATGATGACATTAGTATGTTTTACTACTCCGTAGCTTTGCTAGCTTATTAACACAAACTTATCATACATTTTAATGTTGTATTTAAAAAGTTTTCGATCAAGTTTTCTAGAAAAAGAAACTAATAATAGCAGTACTTAGTAAAAAATCAAAATAGAATTCGGATTCCAGCTTTGGCCCTTAATTTTTCCTTTCAAGTTTCGTTAAAAATATTTATGATTAATAATTAAAACAGACTCCAGATTTTGGGTTCTCCATCCTCGATCAAGTTTTGTCGAAAACATTAATAATTAATACGTAAGTAATTATATGTTAATAATTAAAATCGACCTGTGATCCGTATTGTGCATCCTCGATTACCCTTTGATCAAGTTTTATGGCAAATAATCTTTTTTATCTTCACCATATTTTTGGACCAATCACTAAAGTGCGGACATACAAGCAAGTAAACAATTTATTCTTGCTAGACTCTTCTCTACGAGAAAGAGAATCGAAACGATTAAATGATGATTATTTACTGTTGTGAGAAATGACTCAAAATCTCCTCTAGTGAAAATATGAATTAAGTGAGTACCACTTGCCAGCATGCATATTCGGATTACTCGTTCAAGTACTCGAAAATTTGTATGCACAATTATATATTGTGTGTGCTCGAGCAAATACTCGTATGAGTTTTTTCTCTAGACTTTACTCACAGATGATAGTATGAGTACTTAAAGTAGTATTCATTTATGTTTTTAGCAGAGCATGTGGGTGTGGGTGTGGGTGTGAGGTGTGGGTGAGTGTGGCGTGTGGTAGGTGTGGATGTGGGTGTGAGTGTGGGTACTGTTGAAATGAACACTCGGACCCACACCCACCCTAAGATAAGTATTGAAGCGAATGATGCACAAGAACTCTTTTATATTTTCTCGTCCTATTTGTGAAAGGGCAACTAGAAGCACGAGAAGTAATGCAACTGAACCTTGTCTATAATGTTTCCTTGGTAATAGTGTCTATTTTATCAAATGAATTAATTAACTGAGTTGTCTGAGCTAATCGATTGGTATATTGCTCCTATCATGTGGCAAAGGGTGTTGGTGGATGTGGGGTGTTAGTGTTCATTTCAACAGTACCCACACCCACACCCTCAGTCGAAATTTCGATGAAAAATATTTTTTAACGAATCGATATTTCTGAGTGTAGTTTCCTATGCTGATTCTGAATATGATATACACTTTAGTTTAAAATTAAGTTTTTATGATCTTAGCCTGGAAATACTGAGTCATTTTTTGACTTTTCCGCGCGAATTGAAATATTTCTTATATTTGATCATGCTTGTAATTATTTTTTCTCATTTTTGAAGTCATATTTAGAAAGATCACCAAAAACTGCATCGAATGATGTATATAACTCATGGAATGAAGGCTCAATAATAATACAAAAGACCTCTGAACGGCAAAAAAATGTCAAGTTTTTTCTTCTTTCTTTCAAATAGAACTAAAAAAACACGTCGTTTTTTTTAAAACTATTAATTTGGTATAGTTTGAGTAGAGCAACTAATTTTGTTCATCAAAATGATCTTTCTATTGTCTCATATCGGTTTTTAGGGTCAAAATCGGTCAAAAACTAAAAAAAGATCGACAATAGTGTCTTTCAGAAACCAACGCTTTTTGACTGTTTTTGGCCTCCTCTAACATTTTAAAGCGAAATCAATATGATATTCGTGATCAGCAATGTCGATAATCTATAGATGACCAAAATTCGGAGAAAAACAAAATTGTTTCTTTGAAGGTCCCCTAGGGGACCACAGCCAAAAATTTTTTCACCCGGGTAAAAAATAAAATAGCGTACTATGTTCAGAATTTAATGCTGATTCTAACGATATAATGGTTTTTCAAAAATATTGGAGAATGAAAAATGGCCTTACCGCCACTCGTCCTTTGTTGTTTTAAAATGAAATGAAGATTATGTAAATAAATTGTTTTTATAGAACGGAGATAAAGATTTTAATACTATACTTGCTAATCTCCTAATCCTCACTTAAATTAAAACTTGCTTTCGATGATACAAAATCGGCGTGCAGTATGCACGGGTTCTCGCTAGTAATAAAATAAAACTGATATAAAAAACCTTTTCTTGTGTGTGAATATTTTTTTGTTTGAATCCAAATCATATTGATATGAATTTTCTATTGTTTAAGTTTCAAAATAAAATAAGAGCTCACAAGTATATACATTTCTGTTTTCAAACTCCTCATGAACTTAAAAAAGAATTGTTTTCTCTTTAAATATATATCAATAAAAATCAGACAGAATAGAATATATTCTACTTTCATTTAACTTTGATTTTTTTATAAAATTGTTTCATCTGCATAAATTCTTTTAGCATAGATATATGTAAATATACTGGCACTTTCAGTTGTTTAATTAAGACATTAACAAATAATCAGATCGTAAGATTTCCTATGTGTTTATTGGTGATGAAATCGAGCAATAAATCGATCGAAAGTAATAATATTGAACAGATATTGCAATATAATCTGTTTATTTCATGTATGAAAAGATGGATCATTTAGATTAAGTAAATTTTATTCATTTATTGAAGATGAATATCGGTGAATTTAGATGTGAGTCAACGTAGTTGTCTACATTCATACTGTCAACATGGCTACGTTTCGACATATCTATATTTCTATTCAAAGAAAATAAAAGTGGTGAGAAAACTTTTCAAAACTTCTATAATATTTTTCGATTTTCAAAGTTCAATGAGCGAGTTTATCTAAAAATAATTAATCAAAATGAATAGCTTTCGTAGTTTTCGTAAGTAACTATTCATCTTCCGTCTATCCTCGTCTTTATAGTTTCGATATTTTTTGTTACAGCTTGAGTATTTGGATGATCTATTGGTAGAGCAACTTGAAAAATTCCTTGAGCCAAATTGTAGTTATCAAGGGCCAAATCTAATTCTCCAACTTCGGCGTACAATGAGCCAATATTATTGTATGAAATTGCTAATTTGACGTGATTATCTGGAAGAATCTTTCGTTCTATCTTCAGTGCTTCGCTCATAAGTAACAATGCTGTGCTATGATCACCTTTTAAAGAATATACTTTTCCAATATCACCCAATGTTCGGACAAATTCCGGCCTATTTTTAAAATGTAGATTCGTCAGAATTTCCAAAGATTTATTGAGATTGTTCAAAGCAAGATCATATTTATTTTGATGGTGATAATTATCACCAATATTGCCGTATATCATTGCAGATTGTTTGTGGTTTTCTCCAACGGATTCTAATGTAGATGAAAGAGCCTTTTCGTAATATTCGAGTGCTCTTTCATGATCTTTTTTTGCATCATAAACGGCACCTATATCATTATACAAAGCACCCATGATGAATTTCTCAGTTGGCAATACCTTCAATCTGATTTTCATTGATTTTTTCAAGTAGTCTAAAGCTTTATCATAATTTCCATTTGCTGTAGCCATGTTACCCAAATTGTGATAACAGGCTGAGCGTGTAGTATCATCCTCATCTTCTAATAAATTTAAATGCTCTTGAAAACATTGAGTTGCTCGTCGAAAATCACCCATACTCTGAAATATCAGTCCTAAAGAAGTAAGGCTTGGCGTGTTAGTCATATCATTTCTTATTGATTGAAATACGTTTCCAAAATCATAATCATTTTTTCCACAAAGAGTCATTTTCACAAACCATAATTCATTTGTTTCATCTTGATATATATTTTGTACACGAAAAACGGAGCCTAACATAAATAATATTTCTTTTTCATTTTCAAAACAACTTAAATGTGATATGTCAGCAAATGGTTTCATGTCTAATCGGACCGTATCACAATTAATTTCAAGCAATACTGATTGCAAGTTGTCATCACTTTTATCAATGGTTTCGGCATACATCATTGCTATTTGACGATCTCTGCTAGTCGATAAAAAACTGTTCATAGATATAAAATGACCAGGATGTTTTTGTAAATATTGCAATTCTGTTAATTTCATTGCTTGTCCTCGATATACTGTTATAGATGATTCTACAAATTTTCGATGTTCTTCTTTTAATTGATTATTTATGTCACGTACCAACATACGTAATAGAATCAATTTATCAATATCACCGCTACGTAGTATTTCGTTCAAAAAATGATATACAAAGGGTTCTTTTGTGTACCATTTAATGGGATTCAAATAATCATAAACACTTATGAAAATGAAAACATTTTCCCAATCTTTATTGTCTCTCTTAATAAATTCGTGATACATTCGACGAAATTCATCCATGGCACTCTTTGAAGGATTCAAATGTATTAAAACTTCAATAAGTAGTTGCATCCATACGAAATTTCCATTTTCAGTTAACAAATCTTTGTATGTATTTCCTGTCGAATCAAAAACGTTGAATGGTGTCATTCCATGAAATCGTTCATGATTAGTATCAATTAAAATTGATGAATTTCGAAGAGCTGAGTTTTTCATTTCCACATACGATTTAATATGATTTCGGTAGATCACTGCCATATATTCTTCAGTCTGTGAAATAATTGCTTTTACCTAACAAAGTTTTAATCAACTTTAATACTTTAGTAAGATTACTGAGATCCAATTACCTTAAAATAATATGCTGACCATTCCTTATTTCTTTCTTTATTTTCTGGCTTACAACTGATATATACAGCTTCCAACTGTGAAAAATCGTGGATATGTGGTATAACATGCCTAGCAAATCGACCAGAAATAGTTAGAACAATATGGGTATCTTGAACATCTGTTATGTAGTCAACACATTCATCGACATTCGTAAAATATTTGAGAAAACCTAATGATTTTCGTAGTTGTGATTCGTCTTCTAAAGTTTGTCCGTACAAGTCCAGATCATCCATATTGACATCTTCACTAAGCCATATCCATCGAATTGATTGTGATGTATCACATGATGAAGCCATACTAGTATAATAGATAATAACGTTAACAAGAATATCGAGCAGTTAAATACTATGTTTTTGGTCGACTGATACTTTCACCGACAGAACTTTCGTCAAATCATTTTTGTCGACAAGCGTTTAGTCGACAGAGTAGTTTATCGACAAAACGCTCTACAACGGCGATGTGTTTCATGGTGTCGGTGTGGATTCAACAACCAACAAAACCACAACCCGTTGTGCCAGAGCGTTTGTTGACGAAGTGCTGCGTCGACAAAAATGTTTTGATGAAATGCTTGTCGACAAAATGCTATGCCAGCACAAATTTTTCGACCAACAACATAATTTGCAAGCAGTTAATACGGTGTACAATTTTCTCTTTTCAAGAATACAGGGTGATTGAAAAGTAACTCCCTATTTTAAATTCTTTAATACTCTCAAACGACAAAAGATATCATAACGATTATTTCATTGTTTTGAAGCATGTGTCATGCTGTTTTATAGTAGATGAAATAAGGCTATTGATCATTTG